ATTATTAATCAAAATAATATTTGGCTTATATTTTCCCAATCTGTATACAATTTTTCTTAGCATATAAAACATTTACTAATTTTGATATTCATTAATGAATCTTACAACACAGGATGAATGCAGAATCAAAGTAATATGTAATCATTTATGTTTTTCATTTAAATATTATAACATAATTAACTTCTTTCACGATCTGGATACCACTCACAAATGAATGTAAAATACGATGTCATTTATGACACATGTTCTGTTGATTGAAATCATCTTGCAAAAGAAACCATCAAAGCTGGAGCATATTTTGAAGTGTTCAGTTGAGCCTTCTACTTTAAAGCCAGATGAACCAGCAACATTTAGAAGACAATGCACTTTATCCAGGAAGAGCAAACAGCAAAGAGGTCTTCTTGGGTGGGGGAGAGATTATGTCACTGTCTAGAAATCTTTGATAAACTTGGCTCCTCAGCAATGGCAGGCTAGAGGAAGCATGCACTGCCAAGCAGCACATGTGAGATCCCGGAAATGTGATGGAAAGAGAAGGATAAAATGGGAAAAGCTCAAAGAGACAGAAAAATAGTCATAAAGAAATTTTCAATGTTAGTCTCATATACCCAAAAGAAAATTGGTGTGAGACCTAACAGACAATGTTCCAGTTTGTCTTCTAATTTAATTTTGGGAATTTGGGTGGTAATTGCAATCTCCCTGTGTTTGGAATTTATTAATTATGATGGGATGAAAGTGAACTAGAGGGTCTTAAGTTTCTTCATTAATATTTTAGAGCTTTGATTATAGCATGGTAGGGAGGCTGCAAATATACTGGGGCTTTTCTGAACATTATGTTTACTGGGACCTTACCAGAAAATATCCACCAAATCAGTAACAAAGGATGCTCACTTATTGCCACCATTACTTAACTATACTGGATATTATACAATACAATTAAGAAGTATAAAAACCTATTTAGCGGTATAAAAATTTAGGGAAGGAAATCAAACATTTACACTTTGTGGCTGATTTGGAAAATCTAAGATATTCAATTGAAAAGGTACTACATGAAAATTTAGTAAGGGGGTAGCAGGATATAGAATTACTACATAGATATCAGACATGCAAACACAGTGAGTTAGAAGCTAAAACAGGGGAAGACTATATAGAATAGCAACAGTAAAGATGAAATATCTAAGAAAACAACTTAGAAATGTATCAGATTTATGAATAAAGTTTTAAGTATTCCTCAAACACTCAGACTTGTACAAAGGGAAAGTTCTTAGATAGGAAGACTCAACTTCAAAACTGAACCATGTCAGTTTCTCCTAATCTAATTTACAAATTTATTGTAATTATAATAAGCTAAAAATAAGGAGGGAGAAAAATTAGACAAGTAAAATTTAAAGTACATATCAAAAAAAAAAGAATTTCAAGAAAACCAACACAAATGAATAAGAATGTGAGACTATTTCTGGCACTTATTAAAGTAATATAAAGTTATAATAATTAAAAGCATTCTCCTGGCATAAGAACAGACACATGAATCAATGGAACAGAATAGGGAGTCTAGACATAGAAATTTATAGAAATTGTGTATGATAAACATGTTATCTCAAGTCAGTGAGGAAATGATGGACAACTCCAAAAATGTCTTGAAAAAACTGGAGAGGCATTTAAAAAAGTAATTGTATTCATGCCTTATGCCTTACACCAGAAAAACTCAAATGAGCAAGGCTTTAAATTAAACATGAAATAATAAAAATACTAGAAGAAAACAAGGGAAGCTATCTCCTTATTATCTTAGCATGGGGAAGCCTTTCTATTTAAAATCTGGAAAGAAAAAGTTTCATAAATAAAATGATGTGAAAAAAAATTTTAAATCTACAAAGCAAAAAAATCCATTAAAAAGATAAAAATGACAAACTGGAGGAAAATATAGTCATATTATAGACAAGGGGCTAATCTCTTTACTACAGAGCACTTTAATCACTTTAATACATAAATTCATATTAAGCAAATTCTTAAAATGGTGAGAAAGGATGAATACCAAAGGGATGCAGATTAATGATTCAGGGACTTCACAAGGAAAGGTGCTACCTTCAGATTAAATATGCACATTTGACCTAAGACATAGGATATGTTCATCCTGTCAAATAAATTCTCATTTTCCATATTAACAAAGAAAACCAGCAACCACAAAGAGGACCAAATGAGTAAGACAAAAACCTTTGATCTCACAGGACAGACATCAGTGATGGGCAAGTCACTTTAGGATTACTGAGTTCTAAAAGGATATTCTATTTATGAAGCCTGGTTATTTCTGTCTTGTTTGACATTGTGTAGAAAGTAAAACTGTAGCTGCTGTAGGTTGATGCCTAGCTGCTAGAGTCATTTCTGCAGGGGTATGCACGGGTTTGAACACATTAGCTCAACTGTTATGAATACAGCAAACCTGCCCTTACTTTCGCCAAGCACGCCATGTAGTCATGGCGTCTGCACTTTTATTAGGCGTTTTTATAAATACATGGCTAATTTCTCCCATATGCTATTATTTCATCTGAAATGTTTTCATACTCTTAACAGCAATACATTTGATGAATAAATCTGGTCTTATTGAAATATGGCTTATCCCTTGAACTAGAACTTTATTTGATCATTCAAAGAATAAGACTATTTCACTTCTCCTAACATAGATGAATCTTTACCTCTTACAGGAAAAAACAAAACTTTTTTTTTCTGCAAACCCTTCCACTGTTTAACTTCAAATGGAAACAACAAAATATCAAAAGTTTCAAAGAAGTCTTACAGGAAAGCCCAAAGGCATTATGTCTTGAACCTTTTTTTTTCCCCTCCATACCAGGGTCTTATTATAAATGCTGGCCTCAAACTCATGATTCTTCTGCCTCAGCTTCCTGAGTAGCTGGGATCACAGGCACATCTCAACGTGCCCAACTTTGAATCTTTTTGAGTAAATGGTTTTCATCTTAAGCCTATTTCCTGAGCACCTGAGTACATACTTCAATACATTTTGTTAGTAAAAGGTTTCCTTTTGAAGGTCAATCTCACTTAAAGCGGCTGATAATTTTGGAACAGTCCAAGAACATACTGTGTTGTAAGACTGCTATTTCCATGGAAATTTGGATAAGGGTCATCTGGCATATATTACAGTTTCCCAAGTTATGCCTGAATTAGATATTAATTCAACTTATAATGGACTTAATTAAAAACATTTTTCATGACTTGTCATTCATAAGCTTTTGAGAGGGGCAGGGTGGCTCTACTTTAGCATGCCTTGCTCTAAGGTTGCAAAGAAGATCTCTTTGGACCATCTGAATGGCACCTGCACTCTAGCTAGCCAAAGGAGTAAGGAGAAGAAGAAGGAAAACCCCCCACAAATAAAGACTTTCAAATTAAAAGTGAAGACTTTGACAAGAAAAATTAAATGGTACAAAACCTCTATGCCTGAATGAAAACAGAGATTCATCCCCTCAGCCTAAAGATCTTCCTAAAATTGCTAAAGTAAAATAAAGTCCTACATGGATCACATGTCAAAGGTGAAAGGGGTCTTATTTTAAAGCTTAAGCCAGTAAACTAGGAAAGGTAGTCAAGGTCCTACTGTTAGGCAAAAGAAACCCTTGTCTAGCCGCAAGTTTCTGACTCTTAAGTTGCTATTTTCCTCATCCTCTCTGTGGGAGGGTTGCTCATCTCACCACAGAACTGCTCATCTAAATGGCACCCTTTGTATTAGAAGCCTCCTTTTAGAAGTTTTAACTTGTCCTAAGTATGATGAGGCAAGGGATGTGTTCTGAGGACCAATAAAAATGGGAAAACTAGATGGAGGATAGAGAGAGTACAGATGTCTTTAAGTGTGGTCAGGAGGTCTGAAGAGACCTTTCCAAGTTGTTAGGAAAAGGAATATCTTTAGAATGGAGAAGAAGAGAGAGTTTTCCAAGTGAAAAAAGTCTGAAGTGCTACTTTTTGGGAAAAGCCAATTTTCTTATTAGATTCTCTGCTTGCCATGAGAATGTATTCATGTATTCCTCATTCTCTTCTTCGGTGTTTGTGACCTAAAATTAGTTTCTAAAAATGCAACACTAAGATCATGGTATCTCCCTCTCTCCCAAGCCACTGACCCTATGGGCATTTGCAATCCTACTCTCACCTCCAATATGGTAACCCCATATCCTTCTCCAACACCTACCAGGTCACATGGGGAGTAACACCTCTAACTTTGCTCTGAGAAGAAATTCCCACCCCTGATGACAGAGTTCTAAGTCTCTGAACCACTTGATTCACCATTCCTTCTGGGGATGACCAGTTAATTTTTAACTGGTGAGTGTATGTACAACTTTTTGTCATAAATACTTTAAATTCAGGGATTGTTTTTAAATAACAATTTCTCATAAGAAAATAATTTTTAAAATAAAGAAATTAATAAATTCACATGTAAATGCATGACATTTCAGAAACATTTATCAGTTTCTTTTCTATTCTGCCATAAAAACACCATGTTTGGCTATTTAGAGTTTGTCTGTCATACCACCTGCTTAGGTCTCCATGGGTGGCAAAGTAAAAATCACATTAAATTTTAGTTCAGCTGTGATAATGCTGTGCCCTTTATAACCTTGGTGGCTTTGACAACCCCCTGGAGGGTTTTAGTCATTATGAGCTCAGTGTTTCTAACAAGGACATATGGCGCAGAATCAGACACTCTAGCTCATATTGGATACTAACAATCCTATTTCACGGGTAGAGAATGGGAGGAGCAATGGGGTGGTGGGTATTTTTTCCTCCTTGACCTTTTGAGGAAGCATTTCTTTATATCTTCAGATTCCTTCTGACTAAAATGTACATGGGTGGTGGGGGGAGACTCTGGGTTGATGACTTCATCAGTTCCATTTCTGTTTTTAAACAGGATAGGTTTATTTGAAGCTGGCTGAAAGAACAAGACAGAGGCCATTCTTGTTCTCTTTATAAGCAGCAAAATATCACAGTGTGGCATCTTTTCTTTCAAGCAGGATCCCTTTGAGACATTCCTGGAAAAGCAGCACAGCCCATGAACATCAGGAAGGCATGCTGACCTCAGGCAATCTGGCAAAATACTGTGGACAGCAGTGAGGTAAAAAACCTTATTAGCAGTCAAGACTCTCCAGTCAAACAGCTTTGATCCACACTATAGATTCCCTCTGAGTAGGTAGGATGGCTGCATATTACGTATAGGTCTAGGCATTATAGGTGACTTTATGATTTATATAGGGAAATAAATTTACAAGAAACATTTAGAAGACCAGAGTTAGGATTTCTTGCCCATAAAAATGATGTCATATGAATCCCTAAATATCTACACAGCAGATAGCACAACAAGCCACAAATGAAATAGGTCAGATAGTACCAGGTGCTGGCCAGTTTTAGCCTTTGGACTTAAAAGCACTCAAAATATTTTGCCAAAATAAATTAATAAATTTTATGTGCAATCACAACAATTTCACATTATAGAAAACACTGAAGGATTCTTGGGTCTATTTATTCATTAATTTTCTGGAAAATCATGCATTAATTTGGTAGAGGTTATGTTTCTTTTTGTTGTTGTTTGTTTGTTTGTTTACTTTGGTACCAGGGATTGAACCCAAAGGCGCTTAACCGCTGAGCCACATCCCCAGCCCTTTTATTTTTTATTTTGAGACAGGGCCTCACTAGATTGTTTACAGCCTCACTAGGTTGCTGAGACTGGCTTCAACCCTGTGAGCTTCCTGCCTCAGCCTCCTGAGCCACTGGGATTACAGGTGTGTATCACCATGCCCAGCTGGTAGGTTTAATTAAAAAAACTAAAATGTCCTTAAAAACTTGTGAAGCACAAGCCTAAGCAAAATGAAATGCCAGTTAAACTAATCAAAGCAATATTTCCAAACATACTAAGGTTTAATTTTGCTATTCTGGGTAATACTGATGGCTAGAAATGTGATCCATAATAATTTTACATACAGAAAAAATATAGATAATAAGAATTAAAAGTCTTGCTTAGTTTACTTCTTGTTTGGTTCTTCATCAATAGAGATCTCTATCTTTATTTATTATTATTTAATAGTATTTATTATTTAATAGTCTTTTATTTATTCATCCTCCCACATATACTTACTGAGTGCCTACTCTGCTCCAGGCCCTATATATTAGGGGTTGAGATGCAGTTGTGAGAAAAAATAAAAATAGAAAAGTCTCTTCTCTCATGGAGTTTATATTCTCATGGAGAGAAATAAAGAATAAGCAAATAAACATGAAATATATAATGTGTCAAAATTGTAACAAGGGCTGTGAAGAAGCATGAAACCAGGTAAAAAAGTGAGAGAATGATGTGGAGGGGAGGGGTCTAGGTGATGCTTTTGAAAAAGTGACCAAGGACAGCCTCTGTGATACGGACACATTTGGGCTGAGCATGTAAGAGAGTAAGTCTGGACATACCTTGAAACCAGCCTTCCAGGCTAGGGAAGCAGGATTTTCCAAAACCTGGAGGCAGAAGCATGCTTGACTTGTTAGAAAAACAGCAAAGTATTTAGAGACAACTGAGTAGCAAGACAAAGTGTGGCAGGGAATGGGGTCACACAGGTTCCAGGGGTCCATCCATGCATGTCCAGAAAGCCAGAGGATGGTGAGAAGAGAGGGAAGAGAGGAGGAGAAGGAGGCAATATTTAAGAAGATAATGGCTGAAGCTTTCTAAAAACTGGCAAAAGCTACAGGTTCAAGTAGATCTCTGCACCTAAAGCAAGAAAGAGAAAATCACACCCTTCAGAAAAAATTCTGAAAATCCAAGTTAAAGAGAAAATACTAAAGGAAACCTGTTGGGGGGCTGACCAACTTCAAAGGGGCAAATATTAGACTGACAGCTGATTTCTCAAAAGAATTAAGAGAAATCAGAAGAAAATGAAGTATATTCAAAGTGCTGAAAAAAATATAGGTGTGAACCTAAAATTCTTTTCTGATGGAATTACTTTTCAATGATGGATGGAGAAAAGATGTTTTTTTGTGTGTGTAGAGAATTTTTCATCAACTGCTTACTCTAAAGAGACTACTAAAGAATATATTCAGCTCCCAGATGCAGGAAGGAAAATAGAAAAATGAAAAGGTAAATGTGGATGAATTTAAATGAATTTTAACAGAATATAGCAAAGGTTATAATAATATGTTAGTAGATTTTAAGTATACATAAGATTCAAATATGTAACAATAGCTTAAAAGCTCAATTTATATCAGACAAAGGGGACTGTAAGGAAAAAGATCATTACTAAAAATAGGTATATTTCAAAATTTATCAAAGTCTAAGGTCTACAGTATCAAATAATAATTCTACATGTTATTTACCTAATAATGTCACTTACAATTACATATTAAACAGTATTGACAAAACAATATAGTGAAAAAATCATAGTAAGAAATGTGAACATACCTTTCTCAGGTACATCAAACCAAATACTTTGTAAAGATAACATAGAATTTGGACAATAAAATTTACACATTTGGCCTAATAGTCACACATAACAGTACTATCCCAAAACTGCATAATGTATACATTGCTTTCAAATATGCATGGATCATTATGTTTTTAAAAAAATCAACTATATATAAAAGTAAATTGCCACAAATTCCAAAAATTTGAGTTCTTACAAAATTAATTATTTGACTGCAAAGGAACTAGAGATCAGTGACAAAAATATAACTAGAAAACTTATAATTCTTGTAAATTAAGAAATATACTTTTCAGTAATAACTTCTGGGTCAAATAAAAAAGTCACAATGGAAATTGGAACAGATTTTCAACTAAGTACTAATAAAAATTAATGAGATATCTTAAACTCATCATAAGAGGAAAATGTATGGCATATATATATGTTTTTCTTTTCTAATATATATTAGAATATATATAATAATTTTCTAATATATATCTTTTCTAATATATAAATAAATATATATATTCCTAATATATATATTAGAAAATAAAAACAGGTAAAAGGTGTTGAATAGATAAAGAAAATGTGGTATATACAAAATGAAATATTATTCAGCCAGGAAGAATGAAATTCTGTCACTTGCATCCATTTGGATGGAATTGGAGGACAATATATTAAGTGAAATAAGCCAAACACAGAAAGGTAAATACTGAATTTTCTGTCCTATATGTGGAAACTAAAAATTTAGTCCACCTGAATGTAGAATGGTGAGTACCAGAGGTTGGGAAGGTGAGAAGAGGGTGGGAAAAGGGAGAATGTATCATGTATACCAAAACAGAGAGAAGGAGTAAGTTCTGGTATTCTGCAGCATAGAAGGATAACCATAAATCATAATATCCTATTATATATAATTTATGAAGGCTAAGAAGAAAGGAGCTGGAAACTCTAAATATAAAGAAATGGTAAGGAGAGAGAATGTTCATTTCCCTGATTTGACTAATTATTTAGCCTGCTGTATACATGTGTTGAAATATCACAATGAACCCCATTAATATCTCCAATAAATGTTAATAAAAATATGATAAAATAAAGCATTGTGTTAAACAAAAAGTTAAAAAGAGAACTTAAACAAATGAAGAAAAAACCATCCACAAGTAAAATATAAAATACACATGTAATAGAGTAAAGTAATAAAGATAAAAATTGGCTTTTCAAAATGATAAGTTTATATAAGGAAGAGCTGGGCTCAGCGGTACACACCTGTAATCCCAGTTACTTGAGACACCGAGAAAAGAGGGCAGCCTCAGCAATTTAGCGAGTCCCTAAGCAACATAGTGACATCTATCTTCAAAAACTAAAAGGGCTAGGGAAAAAAAAAAAAAAGGCTAAGAATGTAGCTCAGTACCACCAGAAAAAGAAAAAGGAAGAAATACAGAAAATAAGATTAAATAACCCATATCAGGAATAAAAGAGGGAACATCACTATAGCTCATAGACATTAAAACAATAAGAAATAATTATTATGAACAGGGGCTGGGGTTGTGGCTCAGCGATAGAGCGCTCACCTAGCATGTGTGGGGGCCCTGGGTTCGATCCTCAGCACCACATGTAAATCAATAAAATAAAGGTATTGTGTCCAACTACAACTAAGATTAGTATTAAAAATAGAAAAGAAAATATTATGAACAACTTTATGTTAATAAGTTGTACATTTGAAAAAATCAAGCTGTATGTTTAATATTATGCACATTACTGGATTATACTTCTACAAAAAAATTCAAGAAAGCATACATTTTATAAAAACTGACAGCACAGGAAATAAAATGTGAACAGTCCCCTATCTGTTTGAAAATTGAATCAATAATTTAAAAGTTTCCACAAAGAAAATTCTAGGTGCAGTAGTTAATTCAAACCAAATTTTTAAAGGGAAAAAAATCACACCTATCTCACACTAATTTTTCCACAGAATGGAAAAGAGAATAGGACACCCCACCAGCTCATTGTATAAGGCCAGCATAACCTTGGTACCAAAGCAGGACAAGGACATCAGCAAAAAGAAAAATCACAGCCCAATCTCACTTATATACATAGACATGTAATGTTAGATGAATACAGAAATATGCAAAAAAGAGAGCTAATACATAATGATTAAATTGGGTTGTTTAATTTAACATTCAAAACTTCAACCAGTAATACAACTAATAGGTAGTGACAGGAAGTAAAGCATTGCCTGGGGGTTGGTGTAGACGGGGTGGGAGGGAAGGGACTGGAGAGCTGAGCAAATCTTTGGAGGGCAGTGATAAACAGGCTATTATTTTGATTGCAATGAGGGTTAAGGTCTGTGCATATACCAAAAGCTATCAAACTGTATACTTAAAATATGTGCAATTTATTGTATGACTTTATGCTTAAAGTTGCTTTAAGAATCAGTGTGATTTATTGCATTAAAAATAAAGAATCACCTCAACAGATTTAGGAAAAAAAAATTTGATAAAAATCAACTTCCATCCACTATTTAAAAAAAAAAAAAAGAACTCTTAGCTAAATGTGAAGATGGTTTCCTGAAACTGACAAATAATGTATATATTTTTAAGCCTGACAGCAAAATTTCATAAATAAAAGTGAAAAGGTGTATGCTTTCCCTTTGAGACTGGGAAGAAGACAAGCCTTTCCTGCACCCATTTCACTTCCTGCTCCTTTATGATTAGGGTGATTTAGGTGACACTGACCACAACCTCAGGTGTAGGTCTGAACTAAGCCAGTTCTTCTTGTCTAGTGATTGATTCAGGGAAAAGCAGGGATAAGCCAGTCAATGCATTACAGCCTCCCTGGTCACAGTGAGTGTGTCAGAGGCAGCACAAGACATAAAAACCCATCCAATCAAAGGTCCAGCCAAGA